ATTTACAATCTGACACAAATGCCTGTCTCTGCAGTTATTAAGGCACTGAAGTGGGAGGAGCTGTGGAAATACAGGCATGGATATACTGAGTTTGTAACCTATAGGACGTAGAGTCTGATGGAAGGCTTACACAACACATACAGCATGCTTTGACAAATCATGAACAGCCCTTACAAACGAATGACAGATATTTATAGTAAATGATCAAACCTTCAAGACAATGTTTAGTTGACTGTCGATACAAAGATAGTATGCGTTTCTTAAAGGTCCCCTATTATACTGTTTTCCATCAATATATTCCAGGTCTCAGATATATACAAAATATGTCTCTGAAGTGTTTGGCTCCAAACACCAAACAGATCATTGCGGCATCCACCCATAATCCCCTCTGTTTCAGCCCTGTTTCAAAAGTGCTGATTCTCTGTCTGTTACTTTAGATGAAAATAAGGAGCCCCTCCCCATGCCCCTCTGAGAGATATTTGGTTAAAAAGAACACAATGGTGCTCTAGGTTTGGGGGGTTACCTTGGTTGGTGATTGGCTAATGGTGACACAAGCCAAAAAATCGTTATGACATCACAAAGTGGCCAAAATCTGATCAGCTCATTTTCAGACAGGTTTTTATATATAAATGGATCAGGACAAAAAGTGAGAGAATCTTTTTTCCTGAAACTTTCAGAATCTTTTTACACAGAGGGGACACATGTTGATGTAGAAGAGACATGAACAAGTGGATTTTGCACAATAGGTGACCTTTAAGTGAGTTTTGGTGCCTTGGTTATCATAGAGAATCAGAAATCCTTCCCTCAACGGCAATGAAACCTAAAAAGGCAGACAATCATGTGGCTTTTTTTTTTAATAAATTCAGCACTTAATCATGCTTGGTTTGTTTCCATTGTGCCATCTCAGAGTCAGGCACTGCAGACCTGTAAACACGTAACAACAAACACTCTTTACATTCAAATTAAATTGTCTCTTAGAGTCGCAGCATTTTCATTTCCTTCATTCACATAGAAATGGCCCAGTGAGTCATTTGACATCTTCAGATGTGTACACAGTGTTTGTAGCAGATTGACAGCTTTGTTCTTGTGATATCCATGATTTGTCCGGTGTGTGATAGGCGGGGGTTTACTGGAAGCACTTCACTTTTACAGGCTTTTTGAGACGTCACCTCAAATCCTTTTTCCATTTCCCGAAGTCGGGTCCTCTACAAATAAATGTCTCTTACATTTTTGACATTGCTTGACAATTTTCCGGGTCTGAAATCTGTCAGATTGTAGATTCTGGTTGTTGTTTTAGCTTAATAGCTGCATGCTGAGGAGTTTATGATAGGCGAGGGATAGTTTGGTTGATCCTTGTGGGCAAAAGGCAGAGAAAGTAAAAGGAGACACTCTAATTGGAAGAACTGTTCATGGAAATCAGTGACATCCTTTGTTCCAGATGAATATCCATACGGGGATTATTCATTCCATTCATTTCCGTGTTGTTTTTGCATGGCGACCTTTGAAAACAGCTGTGAAATATAGAAGACAAAGAAAATGTTATATTTTTTGCACAATTAGTAATTTTTTAAGCTTGTAGACAACAGTCGCATGTCTGACACTAGATGATTTGTCATTGTATTGCATGCAGAAATGCTATGTCACATTCATTTGTTCCAATTGTTCACCCTCACAAATCATCAACAACCTGCTAATTGAAAACATGCATTTCTTTATGGGAATTATATCCATCTAATTATTTATTAACATAAAGAGTTTCTAAATGGTATTTGTCATCCACTGCCCCATACATTTTTGCATTTCCATTCATTCAATCCTTTTAGTTATTGCACACATGGTTAATATACTGCCTGCTTACCGTCCCCTGCAGGGCCAGGGGTCTCACAGCTTCCTCCGGACCACCTGTTTGAGGTGCAGCTCGCTCTCTGCTGCCACGATAGGCAGCTCGTTCTTCAGGTGGTACGCTATGAGGTGGCTGATGCTCTCAAATAACATGTCTTTGGTCCGGACCTGTAATGAGGACAGCAAGATAAGATATAAATACTTTTTTTTATCCCAATTTGGGAAATGTTTGCGTTGCAGCAGCATAAAAAGACAAGGCAATGTACATAAGAGAAATTAAAACACTAGAAATGATCAATCCAAAATATTTCTGAAATATAAATAAAATAGCATTAAAAAGTTTGAAAATATATACATGTGGAAAATATACATGTGGAAATACAAATTTACAGTAACATAATA